GATGAACCAATGCCTCTAGTTCAATCGGGACATGTGAATCGAAGGGATCGTACTGTACGTTAACTATATCAAAAGGTTCTTGCAGGCACTTCATTTGTATATAGGGAATCATGACGAGTAGTTGCTAGATGCCAATCTTGATTCGTTGGGTGATTAAGATGAAACGAACTTCATCTTAATCGTAACTCTAGGGAAAATTTTGAACCACAAAGGGTTGTGGACCCACGGCTAGCTTACACCTGACCCATCGAGGGTCACACTGCTCGTGCACTCGAGTTCTTTGAATAAATGGTCAAAGATGAAAATGTTCAATCTTTGCATAATTGGAAGTCAATTTGATTGAGTCCAACATTTGTAATTTGGAATTAGGAATGAGAATAAGAAAATGAAAAGAATAACGCGAACATCTTAGTGAACTTTCTAAATTGGGAAGTTTCCAAATTTAGAAGGTCCACTGAATTAGAGTTTCCACTTTTAGAAATTGGAAATTGAGAATTGGCATTCGTAATGACGAGGATGATTCAATGATTCCGAAAATATAATTGTTATAATTTTCCGATCATTGAGTTGTGAGAAACGAGCGAATAAAGACTAACGAACGAACTTAAGTTGTTGGGCCCGGTCCAACTTAAGCCCGTTAGGGATTTCATACAAGACACTACAAATACAAGATTTATAGGTCTTACACAAATACAAGACACAATCGAAACCCTAGCCGCTCAATCTCACAACCCTTGGCCACTCTCACCCCACAGCCGTCGCCACCGCCGTCGTCTGTCACCGGAACCGGCCTCACGTGTCGATTGCTCTTGGCAGCTTATTTCCTTTTGTCTGTTTCTTCCATCTATTCTAACTTTTGCGTGTCTAGTGCCACGTATTTAGTAGATCTTAGTATACGAGGTGAAATCCGAGAGGAGGAAGACCAAGGAGTCGAATTGCCGAGAAGCCATCGTCGAAGCACCGCCACACGCGCCTCCACACGCTGCCCGAAGACAGCGCGTAGATCTCACGCGCCGCTGTCGTTGAGCGCCTCTGTCGCCGCTGCACTGCCGCTGCTCCTCCCGACTGCACAGATTGGTTTCCGTGGCAGTTTGCTTCGATTCGATAGTTCGCCTCACGCTTCAAGAGGTGATCTTTCGAATCCATTAGATATAAGGTTTAATTTAATTAGATTAAATTGCACGTTGTATGTTTTTCATGAAATTGATTTTGTATGTTTTATTTGATCCTTTTTCATGAAATTATATATATGTATATTACGTTTCGTTGCAAGCATGCTATGTGTTTTTAATTATCGAATTAATATGCATGTTGCTTTTAATTTTCGCTGGAAGCGTTAAGGTATGTAATTAATTGCTTTACATCTCGGGCGTGTGTTTATATGAATTTAATCGTGTTTTCATATAAAATTTTTGGTTTTCGCTGCATACACGTGCCCGATTCGCCCGATTCGCAACAGTGGTATCAGAGCAGGTTGCACAATTAATTGCGTTTTAATATGCTATGCTTAATTTTGATTCGCAGAAGTGGTATCAGAGCCAGGTTGCGCAGTTAATTGCGTTTAATATGCTATGCTTAATTTTGATGCATGTTCGATTTATTAAAATTGTGATTTTTGTATTATTTAATTGGGTGTTTTCAAAAGTTTAAAATATTTTTGAAATATTGTTTAGAATTTTTTCCATATTTAAAATTTTTTTAAATTGGAAAACCGGATCTGAAATTTCATTAAAATTGCCGTTATTATTTTTGTTCAGATCGAACAGGTCGAACTGGCCGGTTCGATGGTTCTGTTCGATCTAACTAACCGAATCGACGTGAATTTGGGTTGGTCAGACCGGTTCTCGGTCTAAATGACCTGACCCACTGATTCGGGTCAGGTGGACCGGTCAGAACCGGACCTTTTCGGTCCGAACTGGTCAGACCGGTCGGCCGAACTGATTCACTGAAAAAAAAATATTTCTGATTTCTAAAATTAAACTTAAAACAAATTGATTTTAATTTTTGGAAAATTATTTTCATTTAAACCCAATTAGATAATCAATTCAACAATCATCTATTTTAGTAAATAGGTGTTAGATTAATTAATTAATTTAAATTGTTAAATTGATCTTAATTGATAGAACACAAATATTATAATATTTTTTATACTTCAACTTAATTAACTAGTACCTCAACATTATTTGATTGATTAATGCTAGTTGAGGTCCTATAACTATTTTGAAAAATCCGATAATTAATTAATGTAATTAGTTATATAGTTAGGTTGTATGTTCCTCTTAGGACAATATGCGTTTCCATATACCTTTAGAGAACATGGATGTAGGAATCTCATTGACCAATCCAAACCTTCTGATGAGATAAAACTTTTTCTAAAACTCCCTCATTCTTAATTTAATTACGACTTATTTCAAGCTGTAAAGAAAAACCAATATGCTGAATTTTTCTTTCATTCTGCCAACGGTTGAATTATGTGTAGCCCCTTGCAATAGTGCAGTAAGCCGTGTTAGCGGGGAGTGCTATAGTAAGGTAAGTTGTAATTCAATTGACATAACGATGAAGGTAGCCATAGAAAAGGTTATGCACGATTAACGTGGTCGGCTAGATTAACTAGGGACTACATTAGTTTGGTATAATTAAGTTCTATGAGCATCTTTGATTGGTAGGTTAGACTTGACACACGAAGATTTTGAATTCGCGAGATTAACTTAGGTCATTATCAAGTGTGAGGAAAACTACTTTAGGATCATATAAAGGATATGATTGATTGTGATCTACCTTTGGGCAAATATAAAAGGGCTAGATTAACTATGGGTTATATTTTTCTATTGGACCTAAAGCCCAAAGAAATATCGGTTTTCTCGTTTTTCTACTAGAGGGAAGTGGAACTCGGTAAAATTAGTGGGAAAACAATTAAATAACAAAAGTCCAAATATATAATTGTAAAATCATTTAATACGAATCTCTAATAATCCTCTTCTCTAACCTCTCAGATAAATCATGTCTAAGAATCCCATAATGTCAATCCTCGACAATAAACTCAATGGCCCTAATTACCTAGATTGGTTACGTGGTCTTAAACTTGTGCTCACCGTTGAGGGGCATCTCTATGTCCTTAATGAGAGACTTCCTGCCACTATACCCGACACTGCGACAGATGCTGAAAAGGAAACTTATGAAGCATGGAAGAAAGACGACACTCATGCTAGGTGCTACATGATAGCCGCCATGGAGCCCGCGCTTGCGAGGAAATATGTAACACCCCGTGTTTCCGATACCAGGTTTCCGTATTTTCCTCTCGTCTCCTTTGCAAGCATATGTGTTGTATGTGCAAATTTAATTAGTTGCTTTTCAATTTGCTTTATTTGCTATTTATGTGAAATTATGTGAACTAATGTGCATTATATGTCTACATGAATATTTTTGATTTTATTCTCTAATTGCGCAACTAAAATGTATTTCATGTGTTTAATATAATTGAACACGTGAAATTATGTGATTTACGTGGATTTAGTTTTTGTAGCATAAGAATTTATTTTCTCATACTAGAAAGTTTATATGCTTAATTGATAGGAATTTACCCTCTTTAAATTGGCTAGGATTGTATGTGTTGCATGCATACACTTATTCCATGTGCATTTCCACTTGGCTTTTTATTTAGCATTTTATTTTTAGGTAACTTAAATGAAATTGCTTAGAAGTCCCTCTAGATTATTTCAAGTTTCTCCTAATTGCAAAAAGACCCCTCTTCATACTTAGTCATTAAGATAGCAAGCATCCAAGACTCTATAAATACCCACCTCTTCTTCACAATTCTCTACACCAAAACATCAGCCAAAATTCCTCTCCCCTCTCTCCTCTCCAACCCACGACAACCCCCTCCTTCAAATAATCCCAAAGGCTTCTCTTGTTCTTCACAAAGAAGCAAGCTCTTCTCCTTCTTCTTTCCCCTCAATAATTCAGCATATACTCATAAAAGGTTTCTCTCATCAATAAACTCCAAGAAAACAGCCGTCCTACAGCCTTCAAACTCAGCCCAAAGCATCCCAAGATCATCCGTGGCCAAAACTCGAAGACTTCCATGAATGCTTCGATTTCTCCTTCTCTTATCTTTGATTTTCTTCAAATGGGTAAGGACCCCTTGGTCTTTACTGAAACTGAATTGCATGTTAAGTTAACCAATGTTTTTATGTTAATCTTATCACTACAAGAAAAACTAGTTTTTGTGACCAAATTCTCAGCGACCATAACTAAATGGTCACTGAATGTTCACATTTAGTGACCAAAAGTAATTTTGTAGCAAAAGTGGGAAGGGTTAAATCGTGTTGCGACCAGCGAACATTTGGTAGCTATAAGTGGTCACTAATAGTTAGACATCTTGTAGCAACTAAAGTTAATGTTTGTAGCGACAATTTTTATGGTCACTATAACTTAATGACAATAGTGACCAATTCAACATCAATTTTTTTTACGGTTGCTACGAGTCTTTAATTTAATTATTAACAACCATTTAATTGGGTTGCTAGCAACCACTTGAATTTGGTTACTATGAAACTACTTAGGGAAATCAAATCGATTTGGTCACTAGTTTAGTTTTAAACAAATCCAGAAAAGAAAAGAAAATAAAAGAAAGATGGGGGGCGAAAATGCAAATAATGAAAAAATACAGCCATATCTTTCTTTCGTTTCTTCATCGCTCTCTTTCTCTCTCGCCTACTCTCTCCTTCTCCCTCTCGGTTCTTGGCTGAAATTCCAGAAATTAATTGGAGAAAATTCGAATTCAAGAAAGGGTTTGAAGAAGTGAGGTATATGAAACAAATTTGAGGTTGGAATTGCAAATCCCCAATTCAATTATCGACAAAATTAGGGCTGTGTGAACGAGGGGTTATGACGATCAAGTCACATCGTTGGGAAGTCAGCTTTCCAGTGGTGGTGGCCTCCAGCGGTGGTTACATCAGACGGTCGCCAGAATCGGGCGAAGAGGACGACGAGCTGTCCAGAAATCGAATTCCAGCCTTTGGCTCTTCAAAGAATTAATTGAACGGAGGCCTTAGAGGGTGAATCTCGACGACCAGGACCCACGGTTAGAAACCTTGAGAAGTCAGCCTTCCATAGGTGCAGCGTGCATACAAGGTGTTTGATAAAATACTGGAACCAGACTCCAACTTTGGAGTGCAAAAACATTTTTTCAATTGGTTCGAAAAGTCGTTTCTTTAACAAGTCATTTCGGTTTTTTCTTGCATGGATTAATCTGATGTCTGGTTTAACTAATTTGCAGGAGCTTAAACTGTGATGAATTGACGATGGATCAAGCATCGGCTATTAAGGTTAGCTGCCACTTTCATGAGCATGTGCTTTACTTGTTTTCATGTGGCTGTACTCGAAATCGTAAAATGTTGGAATATTTTGATGCTCGGTTTTTATAAGCTTGATCGAAAACTGAAAAAAAAAGCACAGAAAAATCGAATAAATCATTACATTGCCTCCATCAATCAGCAAAAAAAAAAATCCATTTCGGTATATTCTGTTTCAGTAATTGTTCTCGGTGGTATTCATCGAAATTTGGCGAGAATCCCAGCTGCGCACCGGAACTTTAGGGAAAGAAAACTTGCTGCCGCACCTGTTTTCGGAGCAGAATTTGGAGGGTTTGGAGTGCGAATTTGGGAATCATTCCTTGACGAAACTCGTAGAGGACCTCGAAAACTATTGGTAAGTGTAAAATTGTATCGAGTTAGAGTATGTTTTGAAGCTGATTAGTGGTCCGAATTAAGTGACTTTAAATCTGTAAAAACAGGGCAGTTTTGAATATTCTTCTTACGAGGCCGTTTTTGCTATGTTGAGCTAATAATTTGGGCTGTGTGTCTTCTGAGAACTTGTAGTTGACATTGTAAGGTTCAATTTGGTGTATTATTTGGACAATTTGGATAACTCTACAAATTGTTATGATTTTTCAAATAAACAGTGCCAGCAAATGCATTTGTTCAAACAAAACCTAGCAGTTTCATGCAATTATCTTCCGGGGCTGTTACTGCTGTGTTAGGTCGATAATTTGGGGTTCGTTTCTAAAGTGAACTTGTAGATGAAGTTGTTATGTTTAATTTGATATATAGTTTAGGCTATTCGGATAAGTATGGTGATCGTAGTGATTGTTAGAATTAGCCCGACAAGAAATTCTTAATAAATGTTTCAAGAAATTGACTAAGTGATATAGTGGAATAATACGGTTATGTTAGAATCTTGTTAAGTGATGAATATTTTTGTAGGTATCGACCGTACTAAAGCTCTCACTCAAGGCTTGAGCATGGCTTGAGCGTAAGGATATTTATTTATAGCACCTTGCACTGGACTTCAGGTGAGGATCCCTATCCCTTGCCTATTCTTTCTGGGAAACAGGATATATGCCGAGCAATCGTATCGTTCGGTTTATTATTGTTATTACTCGTCGTTTAAATTCAATATATATTTATTGTCGCCTATCTTGTGAACTAATTTGATTTTCGAGAATTGTTGATTCTTGAGCTATTGCAATCTTCGATCGATTCGAAATCCTTTTTCCTGTAAGTTCTCATCTTGATTCGGGAATTATTCCAATAATTTCTTTTCTCGATTCCTTGACTACTCAATTGAGTTCATTTATCGACCTTGAATAATTCAACGAGTGTCAATCTGATTCTCTATCAATTTTAAGTCGTTTCACATGTATACTAGTTGGAACCAGCAATCGTATCGTTCGGTTTATTATTGTTATTACTCGTCGTTTAAATTCAATATATATTTATTGTCGCCTATCTTGTGAACTAATTTGATTTTCGAGAATTGTTGATTCTTGAGCTATTGCAATCTTCGATCGATTCGAAATCCTTTTTCCTGTAAGTTCTCATCTTGATTCGGGAATTATTCCAATAATTTCTTTTCTCGATTCCTTGACTACTCAATTGAGTTCATTTATCGACCTTGAATAATTCAACGAGTGTCAATCTGATTCTCTATCAATTTTAAGTCGTTTCACATGTATACTAGTTGGAACCAGCAATCGTATCGTTCGGTTTATTATTGTTATTACTCGTCGTTTAAATTCAATATATATTTATTGTCGCCTATCTTGTGAACTAATTTGATTTTCGAGAATTGTTGATTCTTGAGCTATTGCAATCTTCGATCGATTCGAAATCCTTTTTCCTGTAAGTTCTCATCTTGATTCGGGAATTATTCCAATAATTTCTTTTCTCGATTCCTTGACTACTCAATTGAGTTCATTTATCGACCTTGAATAATTCAACGAGTTTCAATCTGATTCTCTATCAATTTTAAGTCGTTTCACATGTATACTAGTTGGAACCACTTCTATTATGATTCATTAAATCATTTGATTTGTTTCTACAGGGGTTCAATGAATGTAAATCGTTCAATGACTGGACGAGGTAAGTAGCTACTTATGCAAGAGCCCAGATACATTATTGAATTATGAGTGCTACTAAGTGACAAATGATTGAAATTGATTCTATCATATGATTTCTTATTTTCTAATTGAATTTTTTTTTCCCTTTCTCAGGTTGGACTTATTGATGAAGTGAAAGAACGTTATCGTGGAAGTCATATTTGTTGTCGCTTAACAATTTATGAAGTGAAATTTATTATGAAATAATTATAGTAATCTTTCTTATTATTTGGAATGATTGATTTATTATTGTATTTTTGTATGATAGATTGAAATTATAATATTCACATTTGATTGATAATATGTAAATTTGCAATCTTTAGTTTTATTTTAATTTTTTTTACAGCCACTGTTGCAAATAAAAATTAATGTTTTATGCAATCAATTAATTATTTGTCGAAACCATGTAAAAACTATTGCAACCAATAATATGGTCACTATATGTATATATTTTAGCAACCAACATATATATTATTTATCAACCAACATATACTGTCACTATATGTATATTATGTACCAACCAAAAAATGTGGTGGCCGAATATATATATCCTATAGCAACAATAAAATATGGTCACTATACGTATATATCATTTAGCGACCAAAATTATATGGCCACTATATATGTTGCTATAGCAACCATGTTAATATTATTGCCACCATAAAATTTACATTAGCGAGTCAAAAACTGGTCGTTAATAATTATATTTTTAGTGACCAATATTAGTTCGCCGCTAAATCTTATCTTTTAGCGTCCAATTAATTTTTTTGTCACTGAGTACTTTTAGTAACTACCCTGTTGTGACCACCGGTGACCAAGCTTAATTTGGTCGCTAGAAGTTTTAGCTACCATTTTCTAACTTTTAGCTACCATACAGAATCGTCACTAAAACCAATATTTCTTGTAGTGTATGTGTTTAAGTTTGGGTTTTATGATTATAAGATGATTGGGTGTAGAATCATGAACTAGATGATTAGATTAAAATTTACAGATTCATAGTCACGGAGTTTAAGCCTCGTTTTATAGACAATTTATTTTTATAAAAAGGTAAATTTTCTAGAGAATATAGATCTCTCTGTTATCTTGAATTTGATATAAAGTGTGTCTTATTTGGATTAAAAATGATTAAGTTGTGATTTATTTTCGGAAACTGCACAGATTATGTGTCATGAAAGAAATGCATGTTAAATCTGATCTTGTGTTACTCCGATCATAGTGATTCCACTTGGATTAGATATTAGACTTATAGATGTAATCTTTGTCAAAATTTCACGGTGTTTGGAAAAGAATATAATTTTATTTGGTATTTTTGAAGTCACTGCTCTGTTTCTGGATTTTCGACAACAGAGCTGTACGGTTTTACCTATTCCTCTTAATTGGATAGTTATTTTCGAAAACTGTTTTATATGGGTACTCTTAACTTCGAGGAGAGTATTATTTGAAAGTTTCAGAATTTGTGGATGCATGATTAAAGAGAAATGAATTTTCAAAACTAAAGTACTAAAACTGCCCTATTTTATAAAATGAATTTCTTTGAATTCATGGAATTAATTATGAGCATGTTTTAAACTCTTGATGCTTAACCTTAAAAGCATGTCTGAACTTAGAACAAATGATTTAGAGTATTTCGCTTATAGAATAACTCTTGAAGAAATTAGTGACCGGGGATAAGTTAGAGTATGATTATAATGTAAGGAACGATCATAAATTGTTTATAGAACTTATGTGCTATTTAGATGATCTAAAAGTTCTTGATTATTGTTATGTGTTTTCGATTATATACTTGACTGGAATTATGTGGATTAGAGCTTCGTGTGTGATAAATTAAATATATGCTTGATTGTTGTTTAATCTTGTACAAGTATCTATACATATGATAAATATATAATACATATATATCTATATACGTATTTACGCCTGCGTGGTTGTGATTATACTCCAACCCATGGCTTATGTATTATAAGTATGCTACTATATATAAATATATATATTTATGCCTACGTGGTCGTGATTATACTCCGATCCATGGCTTATGAATTATACTTATATATCTAAATTGTTGTTATGTGATCTTGCGGTAAAGGTAAAGTACCCGATGCTCTATGTGAAATATTAGATAGCTATGGCCTAAGGTGCTTTTAAATGCGATATAAGTGATATTTTTAATGATACGAATGTGTGATTATGTGGTTATATGATTATGTGATTATGTGACTATGATATGATTAAAGTTGAGGAATGCCCTCCTTTGTGCTATGAAATGTTATGTGTACTTTTGAAGTGAAAGTGTTATGTTCTATATGATTATGTGTTTAATGATTTGATTAAAGATTTGAAGTATAGTTGATATGGTACTTGCTACTTTGTTGTTTGTTTATGTGAAAGTAAAGATAGACAAATCATATGATTCATTAGTAAGTCTAAGATGCATAAATCATGATTTTTCAAAGTTAAAAATGTTTGGAAATTGGTTGTGGATCTAGGTGAATAAGTATGGGATACGGGGGGCTGGTATTCCGTTAGTGGTTCATAGTTGGGGTCCACATAGGGGCCTGTCCACATAGGAACTGATTCACATAGGAATCGGGATTATAAACCACTTACTCGGCTATAGTAAAGTTATAGCCGTGACTATATTCCGGTTAGTGGTTGATAGTTGGGGTCTACATAGGGACCTGTCCACATAGGGACTGATTCACATAGGAATCGGGATTATAAACCACTAACTCGGCTATAGTAAAGTTATAGTCGTGACTATAGTAAAGTTATAGATCACAAGCTCCAAAATACACGGCTTATTGCCGAACTCCACGATTGTTTTTCCAAACGGGCCCAATGTTTTCTCATGCATTATTTCATGAAAAGTCTAGAAGTCTTAAAGTTGCATATTGCTTATTGCATAGTAAAGTTAAAAAGGTGTTAAGTACCCTTAAATGTTAGAAGGGTGTTAAGTACCCGATTATTAAAGAAAGTTGGATGTTAAGTATCCATGAATGTTTAAAGTAACAGGTAAATGTGAGATTTATGTTAAGTGTATAAATGAATGATTGCAAGTTTATTATACGCCTAATTTTATGTATTAAGTTTCTTACGTGGCCAATTATATGTGATATGAATGAATGTCATGATATTGAATAAATGAATATAGTTATGCCATAAAAGACATAGATGAAAAGAACATAGACGAGGACTTTAGGACTCCCGTAGGGCGTGAGTGACACGTTGAGAGAGGTGTGAGTATCGTCAGGCCAATGTTCTTACTGAGCCAGTGGTTAGGCTCACGCTTTATGCGAATCCCCTTTTCAGGTTTTCAATGTAATCAGAGTGGCGCAGCGGAGCGGAGTTGGAGGAATCACAAGCCTTGACGCCTTATATGTCGTCTCCGGATTTCATATAACATTATGTCTCCACTTTTCCCTTTTAAAAGTCTAATGTATAATGGAGATCTTTATGAGTTCATTTTGTACTCTGATTTTGGAATCTAGTCTATTAAACCGGGGTATATAAATAAAGTTTAATTTCTTCCGCTGTATTTTGTAAACCCCGTTCATGGTTATGTATGTAGCACTCTTTATTAAAATGGTTTCTTATAAACCCCGTTCAAGGTTCAAATCGTATCGAAATTTTAATAAAGACCATTTTTCCAAAGCCTTTCTTAGTTAAGTAAAAGTCATGGAGGGTGTTACAAAATATGAGTCTCACAAACATGCTTTAGACATCAAGGCTCATCTCGATAGCATGTATAGTGAGAATATTAGGGCGTCGAGGTACGCTGCGCGAAGGGGCTTCGGTCTACGAGCAATGTCTCAAGATGATCACTCTCCTCGAGAAGCTAGTGAACCTTGACGTCACCATCCCTGCCGAGCTCTCGTTGGATTTGATCATGTTGTCCCTTCATAGTTCCTATGAATCGTTCATAGTGAAATTCAACATTAACAAACTTGATCCTCCCTTGGATGAGTTAATGAACATGTTAATCAGTTTTGAGTCCACCATCAAGAAAGAAAAATCTGTTCTCGTTGCTGCTACTTCTGTAAAGAAGAAATCTTCCCAAAAGAAGAGAAAGGAAAGAGTTCCCTTCCCAAACAGCAACTTCGAAGTGGGTGAAGGTAGTGGGGGCCCTAAAGTGAAAGTCAGCAAGCAGGCTGATGATGCTTGCCATCATTGTGCAAAGAAAGGGCATTGGCGCCGCAACTGCAAGGCTTACGTAAAGCAGAAACGATCTGAAAAGGGTACGCATTTCATTGACGTATATTTGTCTGTCAATTCTTCTTCTTGGGTATTAGATACGGGCTGTGGCTCACACCTATGTAATGATTTGCAGCTAATGATAAGAAGTAGAAAGCTTAGAGCGAGTGATACCTACCTAAGGATGGGGAAGGGATCAAGAGTTGCTGCTGAAGCCATTGGGACTATTTACTTAAATGTTTTGGATTCTAGTTTTCCTATTGTTTTGAAAGATTTTTTATTTGTTCCTTCTCTCATTTGAAACCTTATTTCTATTCATGTTTTGGATATTGAAGGTTTTACTTTTGTTTTTGGAAACGCATCATACAAAAGAATGAAAATTTGATTTGCAAGGGACGACTATTAAACAACTTATATGAACTAAATCCAAGTGAAATACCTATTAATGTTATATCAACAAAATGTAAGGAGATAGATCAAAACCCCGCACAACTTTGGCACGCTGGATTAGGTCATGTCTCTTTAAGAAGGATGAATGATTTTGTTAGTGAAGGATTGTTTACTTTGGACGACGTGAAATCACTACAAACTTGTGAATCCTACCTTAAAGGGAAAATGGCCAATTCGCCCTACAAAGGGAAAATGGAGCGGACCGAAGGTCTTTTGGATTTGATCCATACAGACGTATGTGGTCCACTAAGTGTTAGTGCGAAGGATGGTTACAACTACTTCGCTACCTTTATCGACGATTACTCTAGGTATGGGTACGTGTACTTGATTAGTACAAGTCTAAAACATTTGAAAAGTTCAAAGATTTTAGACACGAAATAGAGAAACAACTCGGATGAAATATTAAAAAAATGCAATCCGATCACGCTGGAGAATACTTGAGCATCGAGTTCATTGACTATGTAAAAGAGAATGGAA